CGCAATCAGCTTCTTTACTTGTAATAGGAGTTGGTAAGCGAACAGCATGGATCCTGATCAGAGTGCGCGGATGCGCAGGCTGGTCTGGATCCATGCTGGTCGCAAACGCACTATGTTGGTTTTATTGTGACGCGGCTCATATATGTTTTTCGAGATGCGTGTTTAATTCATCTGGACAAATAAATTATATATACAGAATTTCAAATAATTTAATTACTTTGTTTTGACTCTGTTTTTATAATCATGTATATTGTCCATAATGACACAGCCAATAATACCACTATAAACAAGTTTAAATGATATCACGACTGTTACTGTGTTTAAACTAACATCATTTTACCAATTTACGCACACCATTACTATTTTATTTCAATATTTAACATAATTACTATTACAATATTTAATTACCTTAATTACTATTACTATGATTACGTAATATCACTGAATGTTTATCAACATTTGAGACACCACTTCCTCCACCGACAACAAGAGTGGTAGTAGCAGCAGCAGAAACAATAACCATTAATGAGATCAATAAATACAGCAACAATAACAACAATAAATAACAATAAGGCCATATTGGTGTTATAACAGTGTTACTAAATATTTCAAATATTGCAAAATAGTATATTTATGCATCGTCAAAACTACACTTAAATACTTCTTTCAGTAATACCAAAAAGTACTGGACATAAGTTGCCATTACAAGAAGCACGATCTCCTTGACAAGAAGAATAAAACCCATTCATTATGGTGATATGTTTAAGTTATCTATAAGTATTAAACTTGCGTCATCTCAGACCCCCTACACTACATTCAACAGTATCAGTATAAGTGGAAACATTAATACCCCACTTGAATAACAACAAAAAATGAGAAAACACCTATCTATCTAACAGTAACATACGTTGTTGTGGTCGGTTCAGCCCTGTTGTCAAACATTAACGAAGGTATTGTACAAATGCAGTTCTTTCCGTTGCGGTTATAATAAGATGCATTTTATATACATGTACATTGATGACATAACGTAATGGCGTTCGTTATACAATTTAACATGTTTTAACATATAATGTGAAAAGAGAACACTTATGAAATGTATTCTTCAATATATAAAACGCGATGTGCACAAAAAAATCAAGTTGTGTTTTTCTGAATGGCATACCGCAATAATGTGAGGTTGTTTGTAGACTATTACCGGTGCTTCCAAGATAAATAACAAACAATTAGGCTGTACATATGTTATTGTAGTTATCACTAATAAAGAAAACCGTCTTTATTTCTACTCTAGCACCTTTCACACGAGTGATCTAAGTATCACTTTTTCTTGTTCTTTACCAGCACGAACACACAAGTTGAAATGTTTGGAAATACACGGCACTTTCCACGGGCCTTTGCTTCCCATTGAACGGTGTCTTTCTTGCCAATAACCCATTCGGATTATTATCAATGAATGGGTATATTTGGCAGGTGATAAAGAAGAGCTTCCTGATGATATAATAGATAACACTGCTGATTAGACTAAGGACTCTGGAAAAAAATGTCACACTTGCTGGGTGGGATATGATGTTTTGTGAGTAGATCAAACAATACTAGAAATTAGCAAACATATGTAGTGGTAATGAACAGCAAAAAAGATGCAAACGTAATGAAATTGAGCAGAAAAACAAAACTATATTATAAAGATAGAAGCGAAGATTAATATGCTAAGAAATGTAGAACACACAGGAGAAATGAAGAAATGGCAGAAATGTTGGCAGAAATGACACGAAATCGTAATGACACAAAACTGAATAAATTATGATTAACAAATTGTGGACTAATAATAATAATTTTGATGTAAATATTATATAAACAAAATTATAACATGTCCCGGTTATAAGGATGAAACTAGAGTTTAGTATTAAACTTAAAAACATGGTTAACAGTTGCTATATAATCTAAAAGAGGTTGAAGGAATGAACAATTGAGAAGGGATTGATAATAAGATGCCTCTCCTCTTAACTTAAGTCAGAAAAACGTCCATGGATTAATTATATATCGTTATTTCTAAGATAATAAAACAGTCAGCGACATTCACGGTTTTTGGATAGCCAATTAAAATACAAGCATATTTGAAAAAAACGGGAAAACGCACATTTCTATTTTTAAGAAATTAAACACCATGGTTCAGTATTGTTAATGTACGGAACTTAAATTCATAATTGACTGTTTTATGTAATTATTTTTAATATCATCTGATCTTTTGAACATTTTCCGTTTCTGGTTTTCTAGAAATGAACCTAATATACGGCAATTATACACGGTACCATCGTAATGTGAATCGCTTTCTCAAGGAAAACTTACATTTAAATGTTTAAAGAGAACGCCGGCAGCAGAAACATCTGTTTATTTCGTCTGCTGTACGTCAATGTGATTAAATATCTCACTTCCGGTAACAGGTGAGATGTTCCGCGTGTAATTAAGCAACTTGCCCGGATGTAATTATTTTCCAGGTGAGATTCCACGAGATGTTGGAGCGCGCGCTGACAGATTGGAACTAAACAGACGATTTGTGTGGCTACAGGAAGGGCTTATCAGACATTAGGCTGTCACGATTAAGTTTTTCTCTTGTTTACTTATCAACTGTATAATCGCAAATTTAATCTACTCATGCAGTATGGATTTATCTTTTTCTTGCTATGTCTGAAAAACTTAATTTCAGGTATTTCCTGTTTACGGATTCGCCTAAAAAGAAATGACATTTGGTGAATAACCATTGCTTACATCTCCATTACAAAAGTTCTTCCCGAGAAAATAACTATATATTTATCGAGCTCATAAGATCAGTCATAATTTGTTAAAAAATATTATTTATGAAAATTAGTAAAAGTAAACTAGAATTTATTTAATACAATGTACAAAGCATCGTAATAGCGTATGCATTCACTTTTAAAACCAAATGCACAACATCACACACACCCCTGAATCTGTTTCTTATATCAGCTGTGATCAGGAATCCTTATTAAACGAAACATGGCCTGAAGATTTAAACATATCTTTTTTTAACTGACGTCATTGAACAAGAGAACAAGAAATTGGGAAAGAAACAATTTTGAACGTTTCTCTTGAGATGATAAGAAATTGAAATAAAAGTCGAGAGGAACGATAACCATATTATGTTGTTATATCATAGATTTACCATCATCACACATATTCAGGTTTTACATAGATTATCATATTTCTTGGGCATATTTAAAGACACATACATACATGTACGTACATATAAATACATGCAATAACAATATTTGTTTTTCATGTTTCTTTTTTTTTCTTCAGACCATTACTAGCTATATACGAGTACACTCTACTTAAGTCTTTTGGGTTTTCTAGTATAAAATTATGACAGTCCTAATGTAAAAAAAGCGGTGGAAACTGTTCTGCAATGCGTTCACGTGCGTGTTCATAAATTATTGCGGGTCTTTAACGTCGATTATTAGCCTAGATTACTAACAGATTGTTCAGGATGGGGGTACCTATTTCTGGTTCTCCAATCTACAATAATGATACTGTAATCAAAACATAATCACACACATTTCCCATAGAAAATCAGTTTCATTAATCATATAGCCTCTAGTTTATATGATATAACACGTTATGATATAGTCTCCTTCTTGAAAAATCGGTTAAGTGATGGAATGTTGACTTCAGGTAATAGATCGTAAAAATTCCTCATTATTACAACTCTGTACATAAGAATATTATTACCGTTGTAAAGCAATAATAAAACTAAAACTCCTCAACAGAGGCCATTCATAATTACAGGAGAGTTATCACACTGGTGTTCTAATAAATGAGCCGCGTCATGACAAAACCAACATAATGGGTTTGCGACCAGCATGGATCCAGACCAGCCTGCGCATCCGCGCAGTCTTTTACAAGTAGAGAAACTGATAGCGAACAGCATGGATCCTGATCAGACTGCGCGGATGCGCAGGCTGGTCTGGATCCATGCTGGTCGCAAACGCATTATGTTGGTTTTGTCGTGACGCGGCTCAAATATTTTTTACGATGCAAGAACTTGTCGAGGTTAGGATTTCTTGAACATGTGAAAGTTTTAATACATACAATGTTTAAAGGAACATACTGAAACACTCGTCCCTGTAACAGAGAATCATTCACAAGATAACATACTCAAAACAATATTCCATTTAACACAAAAGTTAATTTTTGAAGGCAAGCTACAAAATGTATATCAATTTCGCAACCAGTCAAAGGGAAAAAACTCATGCAATCACTTACACAAAAATAACCAAAGGGAACAAACTCTAGCTACCTAATATATTTAAAAATGAACGATTGGTCTACCTTCGTCCGGAGATAGACACGTCTAGAGTGATTTTGTCAGCTAATTTATCGTTTGAATGACAAGAAAGGCCTGTTATAACTACATTAAGAACCGTTTTTAATCGTATTTACGACTACTTTAGATGTATCCAGTGGCTTGTTCTAATCTAAATAAAACAAGCGCCCTTCAGTCAGAATGTGGCTTGTTCTTACATATAAGGGACGTTTGCTTTCCTTCTTTTTTCGAATTTACAGAAGCTTAAACTCAGGCTTAAATAAGTATTTAAATAGTTATATCATGTCTGTGACATCGTCATCATTAAAATGTGTCTACATATGTCACCATTTGGTTTTTACTATTGTTACCTTAAATACGTACACTGGCTCTATAAAAGATAATTGTGATGACTTTCCAGTCTAAATTGGTTTAAAACATGTTGACATCAGAGACGTTATTCTTCCATTGTTTCTGACAAGAGCGGACATTTGAGTAAAACCACCTACCATCCGTAAAGTAAGCTTGTCATATTTTTCACAGCTCGGTAAGATGCAAGTAATTAAAAAAGGCAATGAGTGACTAAATAATTCAGTGAAGTAAAAAAAGATTTTATGTTATCGACCCAAATTATATTGATGATATCAAGAGCCTAAAGAATTTGAAACTAAGAAAATATACACACATTTTACAAATCGCATCTTTATTGATACGTCTTCAAGTAACATTAGCAATTTATTCAAATTTTATTTTCATTTATTTTTGTATATATACAACAATAATGTAAATAAGCCAACGAAAATCACAGAGAAATTTACATAAAATCAAAATAATACAAACGTGAACAAATGATTACTATAGTATATACGAATACAGAATTATTTATTGTATATATTGAAGAAGCGCTTCCGAAATATGATTCGTAACGACGGCCAACTTCATGTTTCGTACAAAATTCTCCTCTGCATGACCCAACACACGCTAGCTTGGTCGCATCTTCCGTACACCCGTTACCTCGGTTCGTGATACTACATTGTCGATAAAACGACGTCACATCTTTTCTCGCTGAAAATGAGATTTTACGATGAGTACAAATGTAGTATGAAAAACTGATCTTGAACATAATAAATTCAGTTTGTATGGATATAAGTTCTTTTGCACCAAAATTGAGAAATGTGATTATTGTACAGAATAAGGATTTAATACGTGTAGTTAAAAACTGTACTATGTTACTACTGTATATTTGTAAAACTTGTATTTGAATGAAACGTAGTTATCTAAATATGTAAGTCGAATTAAAGATATTCTATGTAGTTATTGACACGAAAAACTAAAGGTCTAACTAAAAACTTTCCTATTTAAATGTTGTCGAAATGAATACTAAAATACAAATTGAAATGGTGTAAACTTCACATCTACTTATAAAGACAGAAATACCTAAATTGTATGTTTCTTCGAAAGTACAATAACCATGAGTATCATTGCACGGGTATATATATCTCTTTCCAAGTTGTTCAGGCGAGGTCATACATCGGATATCATTCCACTCTTTGTCTACATCATATAGTTTATTGTATGAACACTGGTAGCAATGAAATGCTGAAATAAAACAACGTTTTCTGTTGTACCAGATGAAAAATTTCTGTTTACCAGATGAAAAATTTCTGTTATACCAAAGATTTATATTATTCTACATGAAAGATTTCCGTTATACCAAATGAAAGTTGTTTATTATTATTATATATTATAAAAAAGATGAAAAGGTTTACTATTATACTAGATGAAAGATATCTGTTATACCAGATAAATGTTTTATGTTACACATGAAGAAAGAGTTTCTGTTATACCAGATTAAACTTAAATTATGTTATACCAAATGAACTAGATTAAAATTGTATGCGTATATGAACGCTGATACATATGGACAGAGAATGTAACGTATCTGCTATTATTTCAGTAAAGAAGGTAAGAGATCGGGTAAGTTTTGTTTTAGCATACTGGTAGGATAAATTGATAATTAGATTTCGGCTTACAAAAACTAAAATCATATAATTCTGATACTTCACCATGCATCTCACGAAAATTTTCGTTAGTTAGAAACAAAAACCAAATATACCAAAGAGATCAACAATATGGGAACATTTGACAGCTGTTTACCGAGTGATACCTTAAATATATAATAGTAATTAAGAATCATTTCCATAGATGGCAAGAAATAGCTGAATAGTGTCTATGTTTATTGTCACTGGTCAATAAACTCATTTTTAAGATTTTAAACGTAAAGCCGACAAATGTTCTAGTAGGTAGTTAGGGAGTCAGGCAAATCACCAACCGAGTCCCTGGTGAACATAGGGAGACAGTATGTTTCCATGTTGAAGGACACATCTATCTTGTTATATATCTATATCACAATTATTTCCGGGAAAATACTTTCGGTTTTAAGGGATAAACATGCAAAGTTCGAATAAGCAACTACCTTCTGGTTTGTAGGTGAGATTCGCGTGAATAACCAACTGAGTCCTCTGGTCTACGTAGGTAGACGGTGTGATACCATTTGGTAGAATTAAACTATCATGTCACATGTCTGATATATTGATTCTTGAAAATTACTTTGTGTTTTCGGAGAAAACATGTAATGTTCGAATATCCAACTACATTCTGGTTGGTAGTTGGGAATTCACGCCAATAACCCATCTAGGTCCCATCCTTTATTCTGTACTTAAAAACTGTATGGTGTATTCGAACATTTCATGCTGATGATAGTGGATCGAATTACCAACTACTGTTTAATAGTTGGGATTTACGAATAACCAACTACCAACTTATTTGTTTATTGAAACACTGTCTTCCGTAATGCGTTCGTGTGTTACAGTGTGATCATCACGTCATCTTAAATCTGTACAGTCATAGTTGCTAAGTTTACCCACGCCCAAAATATACTTCTCATTCATGTTCAAGTGATATTTTGTTTGTAAAGTGTATCTGAACATTTCATACTGATGATAGTGGATCGAATTACCAACTACTGTTTAATAGTTGGGAATTACGAATAACCAACTACCAGCCAAAATGACGCTCATATGTTCTGCATGTGTATTTGTTTATTAAAACACTGTCTTCCGTAATGTGTTCATGTGTTACAGTGTGATCATCACGTCATCTTAAATCTGTACAGTCATAGTTGCTAACTTTACCTACGCCCAAAATATACTTCTCATTCATGTTCAAGTGATATTTTGTTTGTATCTTTATCTGAAGCGCAGTCATTCTAAAAAAATTCACTTAATATCTTAACGCTTTTCGGAATCTACATTGAAGTAAAATACCTTTTAGTAAATGCAAGGAACCTAACCATTCGGCCAAGGACGCCCGCACACAAGTTATTTCTCTCAATTAATCAATGTATAATCGAATTCTAACATCAATGTGTCACTATGGAAGACAATTTGTGTCATTGATTGTGAATGTCTTGCAATTTTTGCCATGGCTTTGAATGTGTATTATAAGGCGAAAGATCTGATTAACCTTGTCTTTTGTTACAGTTTAATTTTTACCCAAACCAAAGCCGTAGCAGTCAAAGCGCACATGGTTATCCATGAAAATTGATTGTTTTTGCATATCAGCCGCTATTTTATTAAAAACCTTTTGTATTTATTAAGGATAGGTGGCTTATATGAAACGTCCTCTATCGTAAGGTATCACATACTTCTTTGTTATACCAAAACACCGACTGTTTTAAAATATGTGAACAAACAAATAACTTCATATTAGCCAAATATCGTTGATAGAAGTAACGATTTCGTAACATTTGTATAACAATGATCATACTATTGAATTGATATATTTATCAAACCTGAAACATTTAATGATGCTTTCAATTACAAATGAAGCGCATATTTAAAGGGTATAAAGCTATATGTAATGAAACTTTTATATAAAATTTATAAAAGGTAAAAATATGTTGTTTTTATGATCTTAGGAACAATTCACAAATGAGTTGTAACAGAAAATATCTCACATGAATATTGAACGTAAAAATAATAAACTGTTGAGGAACATAATATTACGGTGCTTTTTTTTAAAAGCAAGGCCTGCCAGCCAGTTTTTTTTCTCTACGTTACTGTTCTACGTTACTGTTCTGCAATGGTTTTGTTATGCTACATCCGCTCTTATAAGAATATATACAAACATATTTAAAGTATTTTTTTTCAAAACTTAAACAATATTTTTGAAAACTACAAAACTTTACAGCACCTTTTACCGTTTGATATTCCACGAACGGCAAGCAGTTGAATTCTTGTATTTAAATTAAAATGATTTTTTAAAAATTAATTAACCGTCTTTTAAAACTGTAAAAAATATGTAGTCAATTTCTTATAAATCTTTTAATCATATTTCTATATAATCCTTTCAACTATATACGATATAATTGATTTGGCATGTCTTGATTAACCACACCTACAAAAATTTAAAACAAAAGTTTTACCTGCTGTACATCCAAATAAATAAACAATGAACATCAACGGAATGAACGTGCAATACATTATGCATGGCAGGTATGTTTGAGGTGTGAAAGTGGAGATGAACAAGGTATATTTAAACATTTAGATAACATTTCTTTCTGGTTAAGAATAACGTAAGTGTTTTGTTATACCAATACTTCTGTCGCTTGATAGACAACAGCCGTATTATCGTAAACATATTATCATTGGTGTGTTAACCGGAAACGAACGGTTCTTTAGGTATTTGCACCTTTTATACTCTGGTATATTTATCATAAAGTATCATTTTAATTTGTAGTGAAAACGATTAACTTAGGATAATCTCGAGATCTCCAATCATATCTTGTAATATACATTATTGTGATAAATATCGGGATAAAAGTACTTTTACACATATCAGAAACAGACATGTAACGTACTAGTATGGTTTAAGGTGCCCCCGAGCATATTCATCCTATGTTAGACAGCTTACGTGGGACACGGAAATATTTAATCACTAAAATTCTAGTACATGTTTTTTGTAGTAAAGTATAAAAATTCGAATATCATACTTAAGAGATAATACAAGTGCTTGCTTGTTCTTTATATCTTATCCAGAACTGACATATATAATTTTATATCTTTTTCAGGACTGACATATATAATTTTATATCTTAACTTATAGGACTGTCATATGCTGATAAACTGATTGAAAAAGACAATAACAATGCCTTAAGGCTTGCCGGTGCCCTCCCCTATATTACATTAGTCATTATCTATTCATCTATGGATAAATCGTGAGATTACTTTTAGTGAAGTTTTAATTGTATTATCGCCCTTTGACAAGTTGGATTTATTAGTCTATTGGTATCTAAGCTGTTTTGTACTGAAGGTATGAAAGTGCGAAACATCATTATACCAAAAACAACATTACTATGCACGTTGCTTTCTTTTATAATTTTATTTTATATCTTTCTTTTATGAATAAATCACGAAATATTATCAAGCATTTTTTTTTATCCGAAATGTATTTGATAGTGGGTCCCTGTTTCATTTCTGTTGCAAAAGCTACCCTTGCATGTTCCTGAACAGGTCACGTGAGTCCAGTCCTCTACACATGTGTTTCCTTGAGAAGGGCCGCAATTTCGGAAGAAACTCGTGACGACCTTTCTATCTGCGGAATATAACGGCATTACAAATGTCATTTTGTTGAGTCTTTAACAATGTGATAAAAATGTTGTTGGCAAATATTTACATGAAATGGAATAGGGACAACATAGTAATAGGTATCAAAATGAAAGCCGTATCATATGTGATGATAAGAGGTGATCAGTATCTATTTGAGTAATTTAATCAAAATATTATACACAATCAAACATTATTTTAAAACAAGAGATTTTATATAATTATTTATGCTTTCAAATTGTCATGTATTCACATTGCTTAGCGGCTCTCTAGCCGCACAGTTATTGAGTAAGTAAACATAATTCTGATCCAAGAACGTCTTGAACGGTCAACCGTTAGATTGGACAAATGGAACAAAAACAATAACTAAAAAGAAATCAAAATATTGATCGACGTTACCCAACTATTCAGGCATAGTAAAAACTTTTGTATATTAGCCGATCATTATAGAATAACGCCAATATTGTCTGTAATGTAAAGTTATAATTATATACAGGGAAAATGTCTACATCGACTTTAAGTCTGACATTCTGTTGCTAATGATATTTTCAGTATGAATATGTCAATAAAGCCAAGTAAAATATCTCTTAAACTGTCAGATTTTCCCTTTTTTATTATAATGTAAGGATATAAAACACGAAGATTTGTTTTTGTTATCTGATTTTGTGTACAAGTAAATAAATGGCAAACCTCTCCCGTCAACATACATATTCATTAGTATAAGTAACTCCTGCCACCCCAGACAATCAATGTCATCAAAGTATAAATTAATGGAATAAACCTTTATGTGAATACAACGATTCACGAGCTAAGTTTAATATTAACCAATGTCTTCAACATAGTCATCATTTGTTTTGAGTTTTACGTCACTTGAATTAATACCTTAGTTATATTCTAGCGACCCAATAATCCACCACGTTTTTCTAGATTAAAACAAACAGCAAAAGTTCTTTACATTTCAAATCAAGAAAAGTCAAAAGATTTGCTGAAAGCAATCTAAAACTAGTTCACTTATTAATTGGTTGGACCTCGGTCAATGTTTTATGAAAAAATATGATTAAATAATGAATTGTGCAACAAATATATATGTAAACATATCTTAATATAGGATGAGAAATACTTACTTTTATCGTACATTTCTTGATATGTACAGTAACTTGTAGAGTTACAGGCTACATGGGCACTGACCCCTAACGATGCAGGATCATCCATACATGCTTTCTGATTCCAGAACTCATTTACATTGTACAGCTTCTCATATGAACATTTGTAACACAGATACGATGCTAAAAGGAAATAAACTCAAACTGTAGAACATATTAAGGATAAAAAGCAAAATTAAAAATATTTGAGCCAAGGGCGTCATTGAATACCTTAGAAAAGTGTCACGACCAATACAGTAATACAAATTACTACTCTATACAAACTTAAGGTTGATGCGCTAATCTTTCCATAGACAAGAACAGAACAGGTGATTTTTTTCTTGGTATGCATAGGCGTATACAAACAATACATCATGACAATAATATTCACATATAAATTATTCATAACGTTCATGCATGCTTGATACTTGTTGTTTTTTATCTATTCCGTTCTCACATAGCATGAGAATATAAGATGCTAACGAAGCTAGTCTGAAAAGACAACATTGGAAGTGGTTTCCTACTAATAATGAAATTTCTCTAATCAACGTTGCAGTGTACGTAACAAAAAACGTGATTGCCTCTTTTGTCCATCACCAGCCATTGCAAAGGAGAGCGACGTTCATGAAATTTCGGCAGCATCAATACAAACAGGAAATAGATGTACCCAGAGGGGAAACAAAAACAAACAAACAACAACAAAACGGGAAAGACACAATGGATACAGTAGGTAGAGGTCAGTACACAGTCATAACCACCCACCATCTTAATGCAGACCAATGTTTATTTGGCAAAGGGTCTATAATGTCTTGTTTCATAAAGTCTAACTATTCGTCTTTGCTAAAATACTTCATTGTTTAGATAAAATACATATCTTTATTGGCATAAATAAGTTGAATATAAAGAAATAAATGGTCAAATAAAGAACCTTACCTCCCGACGCTCCAAGTATGGGCAATATCAACACTAATAAATGAAATTGCATTTTGGTAATGAATCGTGGTCCTCTTTATAGATATAGACGCCAAGTATTTCTTATTTCACTGAGATAAGATACATATATAACACAATCATGCATGGAGGTCAAAATCCTGCCATTTTTATCATATACAACTTGCACTCACAAAGATAAGTGACCTCAACATGATTGTTCATATGGTAGCATACTGAAATTCGTTGTTAGCTAAAATAGAAACGTTTCTCACTGTTCCTGATCAAAAGAACATAACAGAACATAACTTTACTAACTCAAACAGTTTTCCAGTATCATATACAATGCAAACAAATATATCTAAATTCATGTAAGAAGTAGTACTTATTATAGACTGATATACATTGAAAAGAGAAAAAGAACAACCCCACAAAAAAAAAACAACAAAAAAACCCAAAAAACAAACAAACAATGTGTCTAAATACAACAGCAAAACAATTAGGTACTGCCATTTTAGACTGACAACACATTAGGTAAAAATGTTTTTCTTTCAATTCAATGCTTAAAAGCGTGTTTTAAAAGCGTGTTTCAAGTTTGCACTTGACAGTACCGTCCATGAACAGGCTCAATCAAACCGAGCCTGCAACATTCTCAATTTCGCCGCGTTGGTTTTTTTTAAGGGATTCTTATTTTCTCTATTGTATTGCCACATCAGCGATGTTTGTGCCGTGTGAAGGCTGTAAAAAATCGCCCCGTACATTCAATCAGAGATGTTATATTTCCGACCCCTTTAAGATCGTTCAGCACGACATTATTGTTGTGCTTGTGTTAATTTAGTTTTTTGTCTTTTCGGCTATTTTCTTGTTGGGTGGTTCCAGTATTTCTCACTTGAATACTGTTGAATCACCCTTAGGATATGTGGCCTGCTTTTTAAATTTGTCTTTTGACGTCTTATCTGTGATATGCAGTCTTCATAACCTCTGATCCCCTTTCATAATTCCATTTTATTTAGTTCAACCCATTGTTTTCTCGTTTAGGGCACAGACATTCTTTTTACTTGGGGACCATATGCCGCTTTTCATGGAATGGCACTAACGTGTCACATTGAAGGTTCCATGATGACCGCCATATGAACACATCTGCGGATGTTTCAAAATTCTACCAGTTCATGTTAAATGTTGAATTCTGCTTAAGCCGGTGCTAGGGGCGTGGACGGTAGTTTTCACTTGACAGTATCGTCCATGAACAGGCTCAATCAAACCGAGCCTGCAACATTTTCAATTTTGCCCTGTTGGGCTTTCTTTAGGGATTATTATTTTCTCTATTTTGCCATTTACCGGATACAACCATCATAAATCCTACGGTTTTCATTTACGATCTTATTACCATATAAATAGGATTGTTATAAAAACATTTAGTCTCCGACATATCAATAAATTAGATATCTTTTACTTTCTTTCAACTTGTTGTTGTCGATCCTCATCTGACCTTAACTGCAGAAGACTCCTCTCCATACCAGGTATTAAAGAATCTTGTTGAAATTTTGACAGACATATTTATAACACTAGGGACTGAATAAATAAGATTTTCAAATAACGTTGTGGACAGACATATCACGCAACTGTTTTTAGTAAAACTTGTACCTATTGTAATTGTAGGAAATGTATTACGCCTTTACCATCACTTCATCACTTAGTAAACAGTAAGAAGAAACCTAAACAAAAAAATCGAAATATTAAAAAAAAACAAAAAACCGGATCAAAAGAACATGGCTGTTCTTCCCTGTATGAGAAAGACAATGTTTATTTTCATACACAACCAGGTAAGATTGTAATACTATCTTACTTTAGATTATATTTAATTTATTTCAACATAAAATGGACATCTAGATGGTAATGGTATATTTTAGAGCATACACACAACTATTGGCAAACATGTATGAATAAAAAACAAAGCAATGCCAATCAACATTATATGTTAAGGATAACACAAAAGGAGTCGCTAGTACACTTATTTCCACTGTAGTCCTCTTACATACCAATGAACTTTCAGTGTTTGAACCATTATATCCCATGGATCCCATCGAATCAATTTATGCAAAACTGACCACTGTGAACTCTGTATGCATTTCTACATTATGCACAGATGCAAAAGTCTATTTATGACAGCTACATGCCAGCTACTGTGTCATTGATTCCAACATTCGGGAATGTATGTTAACGTAAGATTAAATCTTAAACATGGCTGTAAATGCTAGACAAAGTCGGGATTCGAACCTAATTTTATGTCAGAAATAGAATTTAGTTACAGAAATTTGGATTTTGGGGCAGCATTAAGGGTATGATATAGTTAAGCCAGTATTTAGCAGTTTTTCTCAAACAGTTACTTTTCATTCAGCTGAAAGTTCTATACTGTCGTGGCATTGACCCGAGCGAATTCAACATTTAATATGAAATAGTAAAAATCTAAAAAAAACCTACACCATTTTTGGCTTTCACAGGTCCAACATCTGGCGGAGTGTCGATAAAATTTCACAAGAGTGATCAGTACCAAAACATTTATGTTTTGGTACTGATCACTCTTGTGAAATTTTGAAATACTTCTGTATTGCCTAATTTCCACATCACTTTTCAACTTCAGTTTTCATGTTATACAGTTATTCAGTATACATAGTATTCATTATGTTTCATGGACAAGAGAAAAAATGATCTATTTTCGTTTTAGTAAATAACTTAAGTAATAGACAATGTAATAGTTCAAGTAAGAATAAAATATGTAAGATATTTTGAATAGTCAAACCTTCAAAATTGGATACGGTGCTGTTTTGATTTCTAACTGTCTGCATTTAATATATGACTTTGCAAAAGAGGAAAAAGCTATGACGAAGCGATGATTAAAACATTAAATACAAAATGATTTACTAGTATACAAAGTCCATGTACAAAAAAATCGTTATAATTAATAAATGACTCAGTATAAATCCCCCTAAAACTGGAATCTTCTTAAAACCGGATGTTTGGCCATGTCCGCAGACGGTCGAGTTATTACTGTTTATAGGGGAAGAAGTCCTCCGTTGCGTTGAAGAGTATACAGTTGACGTTGAAGTGCTTTCAAAATAGATTTCGTAACGACGACCAGTTTCATTTTTCGTACAAAAATCTTTTCTGCATGACCCAATACACACTAGGTTCGTCGCATCTTCCGTACACCCGTCACCACGGTACGTGATACTACATTGTCGATAAAACGAAGTCACCTCTTTTCTCGCTGAAAATGAGATTTTAAGATTTTTACAGTTCTCTTATAAGCAAAGCTTACATGGAAATAAAGTTAACAAGCTAAGCTAAAATGTAATGGGTATAAAGTGGGAATGTACATGTATACGGTTATTTTATAAAGTTAATGCGGAATGATTTTGGTCCTGCCATTAAAATATATGAAACATCAAATTGTACATGTTTTTTTTAAATCAAAACGTTGAAGGTCACCTCGTTACTCATAGCTAAAATCCCCATTTATATCTCATATTCGGACCTCGGCAAATGTTTTTTCCCAATCTAATCCCCCGGTACAAACAAACTTTCTGTTATAGCTTCATGGTGCACTACCAGTCACAATAGATTAGTCAACATGTTGCGCTTATTTTCGAAGGTTTTGAAATACATTACTTCACCCCAACTTAACATGAAAAAAATCAAAAAAAAAAACAACAAAAAAAACAAAAACAAAAAAAAAAAACAAAAAAAAAAAACGAATAAAATATAACTTTAACACATACACTTTTATCAAAGATAAACATAAAAACAGAAATACCTAAATTGTATGTTTCAGAGAAAGTACAATAACCATGAGTATCATTGCACGGGTATATATATCTCTTTCCAAGTTGTTCAGGCGAGGTCATACATCGGATATCATTCCGCTCTTTGTCTACATCGTATAGTTTATTGTATGAACACTGGTAGCAATCAAATGCTGAAATAAAAGATTTTCTGATATACCAGATGGACGTTTTCTGTTATGACAGACGAAGTTTTCTGTTTAGCCAGAAGAAAGTTTTCTATTATACAATATCAATGTTATATGTTATACCATGTAAAAAGATTTGTGACACAAAAAAACATTATATTATTCTATACGAAAGGTTCTTGTATACCATACACAAGTTTTCTGTGATACCAGATGAAATTTTTCTGTTATACCAAACAAATTTTCTGTTATACTAAACTATCTTATGGAAGTTTTCTGTTATTACAAAAATTGAAGTGTTATGTTATATCAGACAAAACTTTCAGTTAAAACATTCGAAATTTCCTGCAATGGCAAACGAAAGTTTTCTGAAAAAGCAGATACAAGTTTTCTGTTTACCAGAAGCTATTTTCATGTTATGGCAGATACAATTTTTTTGTTATAATATATAATATTTTTGTTATTTTTGTTATGAAAGACGAAAGATTTCTGTTAAAGCAAATGAATTTTCTGTAACAGCAGATGCAAGTTGTCTCCTATATCAGACAAAGTATTCTGTTACAACATATAAAAAGGTTTCACTTTTGAACACAATTTCTAGATAACAAATTGCAGTCGCAATAACATTTGAGAATATCAATCGTGGAAAAACCCTGGTGTTCGTCACATTTGCAATGCCAATTATGGTCAAATTATCATAAAATAATCACCCCTTGATCATCAAGAACAAAATTACTATCAAACACCCGTTTGCTATATAAAATATAAACATGGTATATAACTCCCCAAAGCGTATTCCCCCGACACGGTCAACATTTTGCTGTCGCATTTTTTTATAATAAGACATATTTTCATACTTAAACGTGTAAGCATAGCACAATAGAAATATGTTTCAGTAACCGTTAAAATATTGAGTCATATATCCTCATTTACAATAAATGAATTATGAAACTTGAAAAATCACCTTAAAACCCAGGTCGACATGTTTTGTGCCAAAGACATTTCCAAATCCACCACGAGTAAACTTACATTTAGCTGCTTGCCATTGGTAGGAACGTATTCAAAACAGGTAAAAACATTAAATTCAAGTTGAAATATGCTATTTGTGAACAATTTACGATCAAAATTATGCAGTTATAACTCAATTTTATCGATTTTTTGTGTACATGATTGCTACCATTAGGTCACGCGTATTAAATTAACCAATGAAAACTTACCATTTCATTTGACATCGTAATGGCGGAAATTAAAAAAAATGTATTGAAATTTAGTTAAAATGCGCGTACATGTAACATTTAATATGTGACAATCGTTATATAATAACTGGAATTCGATGTTATAACTTGTTTGTAATACTTTCTTACAAATGGCAAGCAGCTAAACGTACGTTCACTCACACAATGATTTATACAAAATTCTGGAAACAAAGTGATCCCTCGGAAGCATTAATTACAACAAAATAACATAAGAATTGCAGACTCGGTTTGATTGAGTCTGTACATGAGGGATAATGTATAAATGCAACATCCCTCATGCCCCCTAGCACCGGCTACAAAGTTCATGTACAGAAAATCGTTATTATTAATAAATGACTCAGTATAACCCCCCCCCCAAAAAAAAAAAAAAAAAAAAAAAAAAAAAAAACACAACAAAAAACAAAACAACAACAAAAAAAACAAACTGGAATCCTCTGAAAACTGGATTTTTGACCAAGTCCGCACAAGGTCAAGTTTCCAGATTTATCAATTACTGTTTATAGGGGAAGAAGTCCTTCGTGGCGTTGAAGAGAATACAGTTGAAGTTGAAGTGCTTCCAATATAGATTTCGTAACGTCGACCAGTTTCATGTTTTGTGCAAAATTCTCCTCTGCACGACCCAACACACGCTAGCTTGGTCGCATCTTCCGTACACCCGTTACCTCGGTTCGTGATACTACATTGTCGATAAAACGACGTCACCTCTTTTTTTTCTGAAAATGAGATTTTAAGATTTTTACAGTTCTCTTATAAGCAAAGCTTCCATGGAAATGGAATTAACGAGCTAAGCTAAAATGTAATTGGGATAAAATGGAATCGTACATGCATACGGTTATATTTATAAAGTTAATACGGAATGATTTTGGTCCTGCCAGTAAAATATATGAAACAAGAAATTGAACACTTTTTTTTAAATAAAGACGTTAAAGGTCACCATCTCGTGATTCATAGCTATAACACCCATTTCAAATCTCACACTGGAACTAGGCAAATGGGGGTATTTTCTAAGCTAATCGCCCGGTACAAGTTGTAGCTTCACGGTGCATCACGGTCACATAAGATTAGCCAATCTGTTGCGCTTACTTTCGAAGCTCTAACTATAAAAGCTTATTTGTACCCCCAGATTAGCTTGCAAACCCCCGAAATATTCTTAATCCTGGAGTAAGTTTATTGGCCAATTTTATTTTAATTTTGAAAGGATGTGCTTGCGTAAGCATCAACCTTGAGAATTGTAATAATCTTATTTAACAATTGAAAACTGCCTTTTGTAACATCTGTAGATTTTAAAATTTCATTTGGTGAAAACGTAATCTAAATGTTTAATCTGTGTAATCTGTGAAATAACATTCTGTTTATTTGTTTTCTTGAATTTATTTCAAAACAATCGTTGATACTTACTCTAAATATTGCTATAAAACATGGCAAAAACGACTACTAGGACGGTTGTAAAGATTTAAATGGTGTATGTACAGATAAAAGTCAAAATAACTTTACATTCTGCCAGAATGAATTATTTTCAATATTATATTCTGCTTAATATATACATCATCTTCCGATATCATTTCTTGGTCAATCACCGTTACAAAGTTAGACTTTTGAAATATAATATATATCTTCACCTCAACCTAACAATATAAAAAACACGAACAAAATAGAACTTTAACATACAATTTTATAAAAGATAAACATTAAAAAAAGAAATACCTAAATTGTATGTTTCTATGAAAGTACAATAACCATGAGTATCATTGCACGGGTACACATATTGTATTCCAAGTTGTTCAGGCGAGGTCATCGGATATCATTCAACTCTTTGTCTACATCTTGTAGTTTATCGTATGAACACTGGTAGCAATAAAATGCTGAAAAAAAGAACATTTACTGATATACCAGATGGACGACAGACGAAGTGTTCTGTTTAACCAGATGTAAGTTTTCTGTTATACAATATCAATGTTATATCATGTAAAATATTTCTTGTGAGACAAAAAAGCAATTTGTTGTACCAGACTAAAGGTTCTTGTATACCATACAAAAGTTTTATATTTTACCAGATGAAAGTTTTCTAAATATTGCTATAAAACATGGCAAAAACGACTACTAGGACGGTTGTAAAGATTTAAATGGTGTATGTACAGATAAAAGTCAAAATAACTTTACATTCTGCCAGAATGAATTATTTTCAATATTATATTCTGCTTAATATATACATCATCTTCCGATATCATTTCTTGGTCAATCACCGTTACAAAGTTAGACTTTTGAAATATAATATATATCTTCACCTCAACCTAACAATATAAAAAACACGAACAAAATAGAACTTTAACATACAATTTTATAAAAGATAAACATAAAAAAGAAATACCTAAATTGTATGTTTCTTTGAAAGTACAATAACCATGAGTATCATTGCACGGGTACACATATTGTATTCCAAGTTGTTCAGGCGAGGTCATACATCGGATATCATTCCACTCTTTGTCTACATCTTGTAGTTTATCGTATGAACACTGGTAGCAATAAAATGCTGAAAAAAGAACATTTACTGATATATCAGATGGACGACAGACGAAGTGTTCTGTTTAACCAGATGTAAGTTTTCTGTTATACATTATCAATGTTATACCATGTAAAATATTTCTTGTGAGACAAAAAAGCAATTTATTGTACTTGACTAAAGGTTCTTGTATACCATACAAAAGTTTTATATTTTACCAGATGAAAGTTTTCTGTTATACCAAACACGTTTTCTGTTATACTAAACTATCTTTCATTTTTACCAGATGGAAGTTTTCTATTATCATGATAATTCTTGCAAAAATAAAAGTGTTTTGTTATAGCAGACAAAAGTTTCAGTTAAAGCATTCGAAATTTCCTGCAATGGCAGACGAAATTTTTCTGAAAAAGCAGACGATCTTTTTCTGTTTACCAGATGAAATTTTTATGTTATACCCGATAAAATGTTTCTGTTATAATACTGTAGATGAAAGTTTATTGTTATAGCATTCGATATTTCTGTTACGACAAACGAAAGTTTTCTGTTAAAGCAAATGAAAGTTTTCTGTAATTGCAGATGAAAGTTGTTTGTTATACCAGATGAAAGATGTCTCCTATATCGGAAAGTATTCTATTACAACAGATAAATAGGGTTTTCTCGCCCCAGAACACATTTTCTAGATCACTAATTGTAATTGCAAAAACATTTGACAATACCAATCGCGGAAAAAAGTAATTTTAGTTGTAAGAAACCTACAATGATCCGCCCCATTTTAGTGACGATTCCCCTATTTCAAAATCATTATACCAACATATTCTTAATCATTTAAGGGTCAAAGCACTAGCCTAGTTGAGTTCATTGACTTCTAATCAGCTGTACACATTGTTATAAGACTTTTAAAGTGAATTTGTCTATAACGGAAAGTCGTTTATACCATGAATGATTTTTGATAGTATATAGTATTAGACATGATCACAAACCTCGTAAGAATCATACATGGAAGTTGATGGCAAGTGTGAAATATTCTAAAACAAAATATCTTGAGATAACGCAAATGATTTCATTTTAGAAAAAAAAAATATCTGGAAAACCGCCCTAGTAATATAGTTTTAATTACATCAAAGCAAATAAAGATACTTCAATACAAGCGGCGCAAGAGATTATCTTAAAACTTAAAACATCGACTGATTTGAAAAGGTGGTAAAGATGAATTACCACAACAAGCCAACTATCTTTGGTTGAACTAATTTTATATCGTGTGTCTTTGCAGTCAGCGATGTGAATGTGTTTTTGCAGTCAGTGGTGTGAATGTGTTTTTGCAGTCAGTGGTGTGAATGTGTTTTTGCAGTCAGTGGTGTGAATGTGTTTTTGCAGTCAGTGGTGTGAATGTGTTTTTGCAGTCAGTGGTGTGAATGTGTTTTTGCAGTCAGTGGTGTGAATGTGTTTTTGCAGTCAGTGGTGTGAATGGAGTTATCGTAAGAGGACTGTGAATTGGATTCTCTGCATTTCATAACTACAACAGTTGAAGAGAGTTTATCCCTGTTTTTTTATAGTATTTTAAACCCGAAGTAAGCCACATCTAGTCATAACTACTGTGTCGGTGCCATATGACAGAAAATGTGGTAGTGCAACGTAAAACGAAGTAAGTACAAATGTAGTAAGTCATTTAATTATTGTAGACGCTAGATTGAATTGAAGGTAAACATCGGTACGTTTAGCATGTCACGATCATGAACAGGGGTAGTTATGCGTCACTATAAAACTGTTGATTATTTTATCCAGATTTAAGACAAACATGCAATATGGTACTAAACAAATGTAATAAAAAACCCATGAAGGACAAAGCGAAGGACGTTGGTAAGGGTCAGTAAAAAACAGACCAGCCCCATCTCAATACAGACGATTGTTACTTCATATATGATGAGTCCCTCCCGCTTGAATTGTCCCAATTTGCAAAAAAATTGTTAAAGTCAGATAACTAAATATGCGTATCGTAATAAGTATAATTAGTTAATTGAATAAAAATTTATATAAATCTTACCTCTGGAGGTTCCAAGTATTGGCAATATAAACACTAACAACTGAAACTGCATTTTGAATTTGATTTAAAGTCATCTGTGTTAGATATGAAGTAGATAAAGGCGGCAAGTTTTTCCTTATTCCTGTTAGATAAACATACATACAAGAGTAGTCAAAACATTTCGTTTTATTTTTTGTAACTTGCACTTACAAAAGATAACAGAACTTTCTCTATCGGTTTAAAATTAGCAGAAATTTTGAGATTTATATTTAGCTGATGGATGAAATTGGTACTAATTACAATTTCAAAACAGAACATACCTTCTTCATTAACTCAATACCTTTTACATTAGAAAACATGAAATTCGTATAAGTAGTAACTATGTTTATTAAAAAAATTGACATATCCGATGAATACTAGTAGTAAAATTATTGTGTGCAACGAAGGTGAAGTTCTTATTTTTTTAATTAAATACTTGATAAACATTAGATTAAACTATAGATTAATGTCTCTGTAGATATGAAATACCTTATGATAACTGACTTTCCAACTGCTGCCTAGCCTGTTACAAAATCACTAATTCTTATTGTGATAGAAATCTGGGATATTATATAAGGGTCAATGTTCCCATACAGCATCTTGTAAAAATATCATATGTGATATTATAGAAACATTTGGTGTTTTTTTTCAGATACAGGACAATAATTTAAATGACATTTATTTTCTATACTTGGTGTTTTCCATTCTAATCCGTCTGAGTAGTTTACACACCTGATTGAAATAAAGATTTTGTAGAATGTTTGAAGGACATACAAATAACAATATAAATAAAAAAAAACAAGATAAAACTCGACATTTATTCAAATAATGTGGTAACATGTTGACAGCACACAGACTTATCATGCAACGTTTTTTGAAAAAACAAACAAAACAAAACAAAAACTATTTGTAAATATGACAAGGCTTTGGCAGCATACAATCAAAATTAGAAAACATTTTTTGAAGAAATGGAACGTAAAGAACATACATAGCCTTTTTCTTACATGAGTCAGACATACATATGAAATAGTAATAATATCTGACTTCATTGAACGCCACTTTTCCTTGTTGATCTTGTTTACAATATTTTACATTTTGCAGTATTAAGATTGTAAATTGATCAACTGATTCGATAACGCCATTCTATCACAGCAGATCAATTCCTGAGAATATTGTAGATATTGTGACGTGCATATTTATAACAAATAAATTCAAACTTATGATGTGGTAAACAGTAGAAAGTAGGAATACCTATAACACAACTTTAAGGGTATACATTTGTAATTGTAGGAAAATAGCTATGCTTTCAAATTGATCAAAAGAGAGAATTATTAGAGAGAAATGATAGAGAAAAAAGCAAACCAAACAAAATACATAAATAATATTCTGCTATACAGAAGAAGCCTGGATAATTACCTTTTGCAGTAAGAAGATTGTAAAGATTAACCAAAATCGATAACAATTAAGTTAATTGGTATCTAGCCTTTCACGTTCTAATAAAAGTTCTGTAAACCCAACATTGATTGAAATTAAAATGTTGTATGAACATTTGTTCTGCGCTGATGTTCCGTTGTCATGGTTATTAAAGTGCACAAAGCTCGTGATAGGAATAAAAGTTAACGATACAGATAAACTCACTTTTTGAAATAAATACTCAATTTTGATACATATCAACCAAGTTTGTTTTTATTAACTAAGTATAAAAAGACAGCAAATGTCCACGAACTTTTAAAACAAACATCATATTTAAAATTACGTAGTTAAAGACACACAGCAACTTCATGACAATCATGACTGAAATCGGTGATCGCATAAAATATAGTTTAACATTGTACATTAATGCGACGCCAAGGAATAATTGGTTTCCCAAGCGAGGCGGAATTTTTCAGTGACAATTGATTTGGAACAGTCTGTCCAATGGCCATTTGTCTTTTGCCGCTTAGATAAATAGCCGTTTCCTTGCAGAGAATCGTTCAAAATCATTATTAAATTACCGGTTAATTATACAGGAATTTGGTTAGATTGACCACTAAGATATTTCCAAAATGTGTTAAAATCTGCAAAAGAAACCAATCAAACAAACACAATCTCGTCAATGTTTTGTTATATCAATATTTCTATCGTTTGATAGGCAACACCTTTATAATCATTGGTATGTGTACCGGAAACGAACGGTTCTTAAGGAATTTATAGCTTTTATACGCTTTTATACAAAACTGCGCTTGGGCTTTAACAAATTCAGGACCGAGATATGCTGATGATTTGATTGAATAGACTATGTTATGTCCTTAGATTTGCCGCACATATTTGTTATACGTCGCTAAAGGATAAATCACGAGATACTGTATGTTAAAATATGATAAACAAGATCATCAAGGAAAGGTGGCGTTCAATGAACGCAGCCCCCATCCGACCCAGTAACAAGAGTCAGTGGCAAGGAGCCCAGGAGGACCCCAAACAAAAACAGGACAGGGCACAAGGCAGAGCACGGGCATGCAAACCACTAAATAATTAGTAACTGATAAAGAACTAAAAGAAAACAAATAAATGATTGAATATAAGGCCCATAAAGTCAAAAGGCACAGGGGAAAGTTTTAATTTGATTATCGCCCTTGTTTGTATGTAAACATGGCTCCAAAGTGAATTGTTCCACAACCATCATTTTTGTAAAGAAATATTTTTTTACAAATATCCAAATGATACATTATCATTGTTAAATCGATATTTAAAATGTCCCGTCGTAGACCAATTCACTTAGTATTGCATATCCAAATACAGCAGATTAATGGAAGTTTGTGTTTTTGCAAGCTTTAGATACTAGTATATCAACAAAACAGCAATATTTAAGAATAACGTTGCTTCTTTCACTTTTATTTTAGATTTTTCTTTTACATATGAATTTTTTTCTGTTTATCTTTATCCGAAATGTATTTGGTAGTGAGTTCCTGTTTCATTTCTGTTGCAAAAGTTACCCCTGCATGAACCTGAGCAGGTCACGTGATCCCAGTCTTGAATACATTTGTTACCTTGAGAGGTACCGCAACTTCGGAAGTAACTCGTGACTACCTTTCTATCTGAAGAATACAAAAGCAATACAGAGTTTAGTTGGTTTACTCCCTTGCAGCTTGTATTAATATAAAAGCCGTTATTAGAGTTAATAAGTATATATTTGAATAAAATCGAACATACTTTATGATAAGAAAGTTTATATAATTATCCATTCTTTTCCAATAATGATTAATTTTAAAAGCTAATTTCATCCGCTCTTGAGCAGCATAGTTCTCGTGTTTGTAAACTTAGAGGAGCTTGAACTATCGACCCCTAGAATGAGAGTTAGTCACAATTCATTAACAAAAATAACTAGATAAGAAATCAAAGATATTGATCGAGAACAGAAACTTTGCTTCAGTTAGTGCAACAACGTTGTATATTAGGCGGACATCTTTCTTAAATAGTATTGTCTATTCAGTTATAATTACATACAGTGAAAACATCTACATCGACCCCAAGTCTAAAATTATATGGCTAATGGTATTCTGAGTATGAAAATATCTATAAAGCCAAGAAAAAAATCTCTTAAACTGTCAGATTTTTCTTTTTATTAGAACGTTAGTCCATAAAGAAGGAAGATTTGGTCTTGATTAAATGTATTGTATCTGATTTATATACATATATGGTAGACTTCTCCCGTCAACATATATTTTCATTAGCAGATGTTTCCGGACAATTAATGTTATCATTGTATAAATGGAAGGTCCATGATTGCGAATATATTAATGCACCTAGTTTATTATTGATCAATGATGTCATAAAGGTTTGCTGAACGCAAACTTCTATAGGCAAACTTTTGTCAGTCAACGATTTATAAAAAAAAAATTGATTAAATATACATTGTGCAACAAATACACATTATCTCCTGATAGGGTGTGAAACACTTACTTGTGTCGTACATTTCTTGATATGTACAATAACTTGTAGAGTTACAGACTACATGGGCACTTGCCCCTAACGATGCAGGATCATCCATACATGCTTTCTGATTCCAGAACTCGTTTACATTGTACAGCTTCTCATATGAACATTTATAACACGTAAACGATGCTAAAATAGAAACAACAATAAATCTGCAGAACAAAAAAACATATCTCGAGAATATAAGATTTGTGTTCAATGCCGCACAACATTGTATTACTAAGTGATTTTGTACAAGTTTAATGATACACGATGTAGGGTATGTAAGAATCACATGGTTTTCTCCCTCACGTGGTCATTTAATGAATCTCCTCAGCCATCGTTAAGGAGAGCGTGCCCCACAAAACTCAGCCTCCATACCCGACATTATCCAACCCCATTGGAAAGAGGCACTTAAGCTTCAACCAGTAGGGCAGCCACATAATAGCGGAATAGGATGGACTATGTGGACGATGTATGGAGATGTCAAGAAACAAACCTCAATTCAGACTATTTTTTATTGGCAAATCAGCTATTATACACATTTGATATGAGGTTTACCGTTGCTTAAAAAATTATTTATCAGAAAAAATGCATATTTTTATTGGCATGAATTAGTGGAATATAAAGAAATGTATTGTCAAATAAAGAACTTACCTCCCGACGCTCCAAGTATGGGTAATATCAACAATAATAACTGAAACTGCATTTTGAAAATAAACTGTGTTCTTCTGTATTTGATATTATAAGTTGTTGACGTCAAGTTTTCCTTATTCCTTTCTGATAAGATGCATGTATTATGAAGTCATACGTTCAAATCATTTCGTTTTATCTTATGAAACTTGCACTTAGAAAAGATAAGAGCAAGTTCAGTATAGTGCAATAAAAATTGTCGCAAAATGTTGGCCATATTAGAATTCGTTGTTAGTCGGTGGGTGAAAATAAATACGTAAATCCTTCACATAATGAACAGAACATATTTTTATCAACTTAAACATTTTTCAGTAAAATTAGTATAGAATATGTGTGGTTACAATTGTAATATTAAGAAAACAAGATATGTTTGTAAAACATGTATGCCCCCTATCAGCAGCCAATTAGTCATGTGATAAGGTTATTATGCATGACTTCTGACCCAGTGATCAAACAATTAATAAGGTTTATAAAGTATCTACTGGTCATGACCTTGACCTTTGACCTCTTGACCCAAAACTCAATAGGGGTCATCTGCTGGTCACGACCAATCATCATACAAAGTTTGAAGTTCCTAGGCCTAGGCATTTTTAGTAAATTGATCAGAAACCGTTTTTACCTACAAGGTCAATGTGACCTTGACCTTTGACCCCTTGACCCCAAAATCAATAGGGGTCATCTGCTGGTCATGACCAATCACCATGCCTAGGTTTGAAGTTCCTAGGCCTAAGGTTCTCTTATTATTGATCAGAAAACCGGTTTAACATACAAGGTCAATGTGACCTTGACCTTTGACCCCAAAATCAATAGGGGTCATCTGCTGGTCATGACCAATCACCATGCTAAGTTTGAAGTTCCTAGGCCGAAGCGTTCTTTAGTTATTGATCAGAAAACCGTTTTTACTTACAAGGTCATTGTGACCTGGACCTTTGACCCCTTAATCCCAAAATCAATAGGAGTAATCTGTGGTCATGACAAATCACCATACCAAGTTTGAAGTTCCTAGGCCTAAGTGTTCTTGAGTTATTGATCAGAAAACCGTTTTTACTTAAAAGGTCAATGTGACCTTGACCTTTGACCCCTTCACCTAAAATTCAATAGGGGTCATCTGCTGGTCATGACCAATCATCACACAAAGGTTGAAGTTCCTAGGCCTAAGCGTTTTTAGTTAATTGATCGGAAACCGTTTTTTACCTACAAGGTCAATGTGACCTTGACCTTTGACCTCTTGACCCCAAAATCAATAGGTCATCTGCTGGTCATGACCAATCACCATACCAAGTTTTGAAGTTCCTAGGCATAAGGGTTCTTAAGTTATTGATCGGAAAGCATTTTTACCTACAAGGTCAATGTGACCTTGCCCTTTAACCCCTTAACCCCAAAATCAATAGGGGTCATCTGCTGGTCATGACCAATCACCATACCAAGTTTGAAGTTCCTAGGCCTAAGGGTTCTTTGGGTATTGATCGGAAACCTGTTTTTACCTAAGAGGTCAATGTGACCTTGACCTTTGACCCCTTGACCCCAAAATCAATAGGGGCATCTACTGATCATGTCCAATCACCATCTCAAGTTTGAAGTCCCTAGGGCCTAAGGTTCTTTCATTATTGATCGGAAAACCGTTTTTACCTACAAGGTCAATGTGACCTTGACCTTTGACCCCTTAACCCAAAAATCAATAGGGGTCATCTGATTGGTCATAACCAATCACCATACCAAGTTTGAAGTTCCTAGGCCTTAAGGTTCTTTAGTTATTGATTGGAAACCGTTTTTACCTACAAGGTCAATGTGACCTTGACCTTTGACCCCTTGACCCAAAATCAATAGGGGTCATCTACTGATCTTGACCAATCACCATACCAAGTTTGAAGTTCCTAGGCCTTAAGGTTCTTTAGTTATTGATCGGAAACCGTTTTTGCTTTCAAGGTCAATGTGACCTTGACCTTTGACCCCTTGACCCCAAAATCAATAGGGGTCATCTACTGATCATGACCAATCACCATACCAAGTTTGAAGTTCCTAGGCCTTAAGGTTCTTTAGTTATTGATCGGAAACCGTTTTTGCTTACAAGGTCAATGTGACCTTGACCTTTTACCCCTTGACCCCAAAATCAATAGGGGTCATCTACTGATCATGACCAATCTCCATACCAAGTTTGAAGTTCCTAGGCCTTAAGGTTCTTTAGTTATTGATTGGAAACCGTTTTTGCTTTCAAGGTCAATGTGACCTTGACCTTTGACCCCTTGACCCAAAAATCAATAGGGGTCATGTACTGGTCATGACCAATCACCATACCAAGTTTGAAGTTCCAAGGCCTTAAGGTTCTTTAGTTATTGATCGGAAACCGTTTTTGCTTTCAAGGTCAATGTGACCTTGACCTTTGACCCCTTGACCCCAAAATCAATAGGGGTCATCTACTGGTCATGACCAATCACCATACCAAGTGTGAAGTTCCTAGGCCTAAGGGTTCTTTAGTTATCACTCGGAAACCATTTGGTCTACGGACCGACGGACCGACAGACCGACGGACCGACAAGTGCAAAGCAATATACCCCCTTTTCTTCGAAATGGGGGCATAATTATCAATGATGACATACTACCAGATAAACTACAGCACACATTCAATATTGCTATGTGCAAGAAAAAACATCATTAACAACAACAAAAACAACAACACAAATTACTTTTCTAGTTTGTCTAAGAATGTGTCGCTAAACTCTAGTTGCAAATTACTTCTCTCGCGTACTTTTACCTTTCGATGATACTCTAAGATGCATACTAAAATGTATCAGTATAAAGATTAATCTAAGTAATTATCAATAAATTGTGCGTGAGTTTTCATAGCAATGCCTTGAGTAAATGTGACCAGACCGTCCTGACTGTGTTTTCGATGTATTTTGTAAGTTTTAGTCATTGCCACGCACTTTGAACTTTATGGTTGGCATACTGTGTTGTCATTGGTTGATAGTTATTTTCTTTTATCACGTGCTAATTCGCGGGGTTTACAGTGCGGCCAACGTTTTTCTGTGTAATAGTTGAGCTTGTTGTCTTAGGAAACTTTTGAAAGTTTATCTTATTTTTTATTGGTAATATATCTTGGTATGTATACTTTGTATTAGTTGTATTACATGAGCTTCTGTTGAAATGAGTATTACATTCGTTTCTTTGTTTTCGGCGACATTTTAGACGTTTATGTAATATTGCATATTTTGTGTACATGAAATTGAAATGGCATAATCTGGTGAATTAACTATTGCTACTGTCATATATATTTCTTTTGTGCACAATACTTATTTTTAACTCACAGACTAAACAGCACACACTGGAGAGAGAATGTAATGAATGTTATGTTGCAGAATGTGATTGGTACCATTTACTGGTGAGTTAACATGTTGTGGTTTTGTTTGTACTGTGTTTATGTTGATAACAGGTTCGACATGTGATTGATATGTATTAGAATTTGTGACATTTATGAATGGTTAAGTATTAATGTATTTTGGCCACTAGCGTGTGATGAATTCATTGTCTTAATGATACTCTGATGATCTTGTTAAAATGTTGCTAATGTAATATGTATTTGTAATTCATTATTTTAATTATATAGTAATTGGTTGATGAACTGTATTTTTCAGGTCACTTGTTGTAACTGCAAGTAGTGTCATCTGTTTAGGTGTCATCAATCATTTGTAATTATTTGTGACAGACGATGTAAATAAAGATGAGAACTTGAGAAGAGAACCCAACATCTTGGTTTTTTTATTCAGTAGTTGTTTACGTAAAAGCCGAGTAGTAACATAAAGATAAAATCAAATGTTATACAAATGATATCTGAATTTAAAATGAAATAGCTCTGCACAAGAAAAACCAATGTCCTCGTTATATCGATTCCAAATGGTGACCACTATACAGAATTGCAAAATCATTTTCATTTGTCATATACAACTACATTAAAAAACCCTCAGTTCATTCATTTTGATTACTATCTACACATATACAAGCTATTTGTTTTAATTTCTTGATGTTTTTTATTCCACATTTCTTTACACATATAGGAAAAACAATATGAATATGGAAAGGCGGCATTTTAATTCATTTAACCAACAACATTACCTGCTTCTGAAAAATCTTGCTGGAGCAGAAATCCGGTAAAAGTGGAATAAATGGTGGGATCGCCATAAATGGCATCGTCAGCAGCAACATTTTGCACAGCGATATCATCACCTTGCTTAAGCTGAATAACTAAGGCCTGACTTCCTTGGTCATGTCGGCCATCTGTACCACGTGCATACACTGATGCCTTGATCGCTCCATTTACGATCAACTCGCACCAAACTTCACGATCGTTGTCAGCTAGGACAGATGTATAGAACACATAGAGACCAGGCACCGGTGCAGTGAACACGCCATGATGAGGATTGTAACCGTTTCCAACATTTGTTTCCACGTGGTCGAACACTATGTTTTGATGGGCACCTACATGAAGTGCACGTTTTGTAAGACCAGCCGTAAATGCAACAGTCACCTCATTTTCTGCTCTGCGGATTCTATCTCCTGCAAAATAAAATTATAATTGACAATAAGTCTAAAATCACGATATCAAAAAATGAGAACAACGATTATCATCACAGACCGAAGCTTTTTAATAGAATTAAAAGATAAATGAGAAATGATAACTGGGTATTCCTTTTTTCGTTTTAATTCTTTTTTTACATGTTATGCTTTCTGAGATAATCCCAAGTTGGCTTTATTAACGCACACTTACAATCGAACTCTTATTCTTTAATGTATATGTAAAATGTTTTCGTGGATACAAACATTTGCGGATATGTATCTACCGCGAAAAGCGCTAACTTACAAAGCGCGAAATAATTTCTAGTAATTCAGAAAGTGTTTTTAAAAGAAAAGCATTTAAAATCTTGGACAGGTGAAGAAAAGAAAAAATCAAAACAGCTACTTTAGGTACCTGAATTACCCGATGATGCCAGAATCACATTCTTTGCATTTGCATGTTTTTCGTCTTTTTGTGTTTGAGAACTCGTGTCCCAATTATTTTCTTGAAACTTCATACGTCTCGTCAGTTGAGAAATCAGTCGATCTTGTTGAATGCCTTTCTTCCTTAAATATGAGATCTCATCTTTTTGTCCGGAAAGCTGTTTTTGTAGGTCATCTATTTCTTGCCTATGTAATTTATCCTGGGCTCTTGAAATTATCCTCAAGAAACACTTAAGCTTCAGAAAACCTTTTAAAATTATTTAACTCGTCCGTGGGTTTACTTTATAGTCTGAAAAGGGAAAGGGCCCAAAAAAGTTTAAACCTCCAAAACAGCACAAATTACAACAAACAAAAAGGGAATGAAAGAGATACATTTTTGTTTTTCTTTATGTAACAAAATTATCTTATCTTTCCCGAAATGAAAAACCAAACCCGGACGGACTTTAGTAAAAATTTAGGTCGTTTTGTGATGGGTGAAAAAGGGGAAACACTTTTTTTAAAATTTAAATTGTCTAAAATTTATTGAGTAAATCGATAAAAAAAAACCCGGGAAAACCCTTTCCCGACTTCATTTAAATGGATGTATTCTGTATAAGCTTCAAATTAAAAAAATACTATTTAAAACTTTTGTGTTTTACCTTTTTTCGTGTTGTATGATATGGTATGATTGAAATAATGTCAATTTCATCCATTAAAATCTCTATTTATCGAACTAGCTTGCAGTTTGTGCAAACATAAGTATGCTCAATATTCTTACTCTTAATATGTATGTACTATTGTTTGTCTTCAGTTGTTCGATACATATAAGCATTGGGTATGTAATACTTATGTTATATGTTCTAAGTCAGCTATAGTATTGAATGTATCTTGATAAATGTTTCACGCGTGAACTTTGCTTGTTTTCAATTTGTTTAAGTATGTAATATTTAGAAGTGCTATAACAAAAGTTTACAAGAAAAGCATTGATGCAAAGCATCAAAGGGCGACGCCAAAAGAATTTGATCCAGGTTTGCACCTAAATACTTAACAAAAGATGTGTACTTTATAGCAGTACCATTTCATGTGACCTGGAGGCTTGGCCCAGTTTATGTTGAAACTTAAACCAAAAAGAATAGACTCTGTCTTGCCAAGATGCAAAGACAATTTATAGTCAATAAACCAATCTTAAGATTTACTTTACCAGATACAAGGATACCTGAGTCATCATCACAGGCACAAGTATCACACCTGGGAAGAAAAAATATGACCAGATTAATAAAAAATCTGTGTTCATCTTTAAAGTGTCAAAAACCAAAAAAAATATGTAAATAATGACCCCCTTTAAAAATATACTATTAACTTTAAGTATATTTTTAAAGGGGGTCATCATTTACATTTTTTTTTTTTTGGTTTGTGACACTTTTAAGATGAACACAGGTTTTTTTTATCAATCTGGTAATATTTTTTCTTCCCAGGTCTGATACTTGTGCCTGTGCATATAATAAAAGCTTATTGCTTAGGGTTGCAGACATGTCATTGACATATATTAGACATAAAAGAGGACCTAAAATGAACATCAGGGGGACACCATAGATATTCAGAGAGAACGAGTACCAGCCACATTCACCAGCTGCTATCAGAGATAAGACTTGAACCATGCAAGAATGTCATTACATATGGCAGATGCTTGAAGTTCCATGAAGAAGAAGAAAAAAGAACTTCTTCATGTGCAGTATAGTGTGATCAACTGTACCAAATGCTTTTTGTAGATTTAAAAGTATCACGCAATACTGCCTTTGTCCATTTCAAATTAAATGCAATCTATTAAATGAATCAAACATGTGTCAGTTGAAAAACCACTTCTAAACCCTGACTAAAACTGCCTGACCATGACTCGAACCCATGACTTTCAGAAGACCAACTGAGCTATCCGGCCGGCTACACATTTTCTCTTTATTAATGAAACAGTTCTAAACCTAAACCTTTTTCCCCACTATATTGATTCATGTACTTGAATTTCTGATGTTTACAGAGCATAGTAAATTAAACTAATGGTTATTTGCAGTAACAGGATTAGAAAAACTTTCAGCTTGACCAGAACTCAAACCTGTGACCCACAGAATAATGTACCGCGGCTGTAGCGATTGAGCTATCTGGCCGCTTACACATTTTCTCCCCTAAATAGTGAACAGTTCTAAACCGTGACAGATATATAGATTTTCAAATTAACAGATAATTAATTCTTAATTAATAAATAAGAAAAAAAAACCTTACATACTCATAGTCTTTATATAATTAAAATAACAATTTATATAATTATTATTGTATACTTATTTTTACTAAAAAGGGCTAAGACAGTTATTGAATGTGCCATTATTTATAACAGGTCAATTTGAAAGTGAATATAACTGTGCTTATACATGTACAATATCTATGATAAGAAATGTTATGAAGGCTGATTTGTATTTTACATCAAGGACACCGGGCGAAAACATGAAAATGCAACAAACGAACCACTTTGTGGTAGATTTTATTTTCATGTTTTCATCTGGCGCCCGGTTACTTTTTGTACTTTGTTGGTTTTATGTGGCACAAATCCACCACTATAAAATTTAGTGTACAAATTTATTCAAGGACTAGTAACAATTATCTACTATCTAATGTAAAGTCTGTTGTCGGGTTGACTCAGGAGACCTGGAGGTTGAGACCGGTGTCCCTCCATTACAAATAGATAAGTCAGAAGCTGTCCTTTTCAAACTATGCACATGTTAGAAAAAAATTAGAATAACTATTCAGAACATGATTTTTTGAGGCTTTATCAATTATATTGCTTGATCCGAGTTTCAGGACATTTTCAATCAATACATGTATTATCATTTATAACTTTAAATGAAAGTCTCATCCCTTTAATAATAATGACATAACTGCAACTCTTTAAATTCAGAAATATTATAAGTCTCATCATACCAATATACTAAGATATAAATGTATGCACATAACATTAATAATTCCAAGTTTCTATTAAATAAATATGAAATATATTGGGTATATAAAGCCAGTAAAAGTATATATATATATCAATATTCACTCATCAGGGCCTCTATGCTTTTGATGACCTTACAACTGGTAAATTTTATAAAACAAAAATTGTAAGTAATACCTAAGATAGACGGAAAAGAACAAATAATTTAGTAAACATGAGTTACTTCCCCTTGAAATAAAGAAAACATGAAACCCAAAAGAACACCCTAAACATCAAAATTAAGAAATGTTGCAGGCTCATTTTAATTATGCCATGCAAATTAATGGTAAAGAATTCATAAAAAAGTAGATGGCCATGTGACAGCAGTAATTGCAGAAAATCGGATAGCTGTCAACATCCGGATACTGGTACACTTTGTAAAAACAACCATTCTGATCAACAGATAAACGTAATATGGATAAAATCAATAGGATAATCGTTTACAACAGTCCATTACCTATCCTAATACTCATTTGCAGGTGAACTTTCTTCTTGTAGGAAAGTTTTAAAAATATATAAATGAATGAGCATCAATGTAGACCACAACGATATTCGAAATCCGGGTTTTAGTATTGTCAATAAAACAAAGGGACAAGCTGTTAATCAGAGCCTGCAATTTCGTGAAAATTATATCACAATGCACATGCTTTTTATATAAAGTTATTAAATACAAATATAACAACATATTTGTTTACTTGATTTTTACGAATCAAAATAAATATAATTAACACAACATGAAATTAACTGCTAATAATAACAGCTCCTTCCATAGGCAAAAATAAAAAGCATTCCATATAAGACGACGCCGCTCACCGGCGTCGCCAATAAACTTCACGAATCCCTCTTGTATATACATGTACGAGGGGTTATCCAAAAATTCGTGGACTTTTTAAATATCTTTTGAACGTCGACGTGTATTATAATGAAAATTTATCAGCATACATTGTAGAATATTATCAATACATTTTGAAAGGAACAGTTAATTGTGTCAATAAATAATGATTTTATATTGCTTTTAAATAAGCACATACACAGCACCCGGCGCACGGTAGAAAAGCACAGTAAGTCATCGTATATTTCTTGCTAAAAAAACAAAAAATAACGTAGAAAACCCGCTGAACATCGCACTTTTCTTCTATGATGTCATTTAAGTAATTCTTTAAAATAATGGACGTCATTTCCGTTTATTTTTGTTGATATCGCTAGAAACGCCAGACGCCTTTATTGTTTACAACGGGAAAATGACGGACACGCGGTAATTAGAAAATCGCACGATCATAAACAATCATAAATTTTTGTTGTAATTTGGAAATGACACCTACAAAAACATTTAATAAAAATCAGCAGACGAACAGAGAAAAGAAAATTTCACGATCATTAGTGTTAAAGTGGCATAAAAAATTTAGTGATGGACATTACTTTGAGAAGCAGTAACCGTCATTGACTGCGTAACGTTGAAGCACAAGTTGTACGTTGATATCATGACGTTGACGTCAATAACTTTTTGGAGTGCGCCGCTGTCGCCGACATGTGTTTATGTAAAGTTAAATATTGTTGTAATGTAAGAAGCTACTCTCATGAATTTTTCTGTGTTTATTTCTTATTAATTCTTCTAAACAGTGTAAGAATTTCAAATTAATATCTCAAATATATTTTACGCAACAAAGAAAGTCCACGAATTTTTGGATAACCCCTCGTATATGTATGAACAGATATTTTTTTGAAAGTTAATATTTTCCATTTAAAAGGCAAATGAAATATTTTGTTTAAAAGGCGTATCTATAGCACTATTAGCACTTTCTATAGTATGTTCCGTTTTTTATCATGAATGGTTATGTTATCTTAGGTTAACTGTGTAATTCATTTTTCTTACTTAATATGTATTGCTACTGTAAAATAGTGTATTCTATGATTATTCTTAAATGAACTTCAAACTTCAACTTTTTATCTGATATTCAAGATATTTTTATGGACTGCTGTATTATCAGTACTTTAACAGTGTTTTAATTTTTCATTTGACAGGTATTTTTCACACCATTTAAGACAGGGAATAAAAAACAACCCATCAAAGCTTCGATAATTGATATACAATTATATTCATTTGTTAGTGAACAAATAATATTCTTATATGAAAAGCAAGCAAAGACAAAGGTGTTAAGAACTGATAACTACTTCTTTCAAAACATTCAAAATAACAATAAGAAGGATAGTATAAATATTGAAAAATAATTAAACATCAATATTTTGTAACACTTTAAAATATGACAAATGTGTAATTTTACTATTTCATTGGCATCTACGCGGCAAAACAATTAGCCAACAATGGTATTGACATCATCGTTCTGAAGAAGGAGAAATCCGCTAAACGTTGAATAAAAAAAGGTGCTACCATATATTGCGTCATCAACTTCATAATTCTGAATGGCAACATCATCTCCTTGTTGAAGTTGTGTAACAATCATTTGACTTCCTTGGTCATGTCTTCCGTCTGTACCGCGAGCGTACACGGATGTCTTGACTACATTATTAACGACCAGGTTGCACCAAACTTCTCTATTGTGATCAGCCAGCACGGACGTAAAGAACACATAGAGACCTGACACTGGGGCAGTAAAAACACCATGATGAGGATTGTAGCCATTTCCGATATTAGTTTCTACGTGGTCGAATACTACGTTCTGGTGAGCACCAACATGTTGTGCTGTTTTTGAAAGACCAGCAGTAAATGCAACAGCCGCTTCATTTGCTATGCTGCGGATTCTATCTATTGAAAAAGAATATGATTAATGTCAACGTCCGCTTCATTAGTGACACATTTAAATAACTGGTGAATTTTATAATATGAAATAAGTATAAAGACAGTGAAAAAGTAGGAATGTAATAATCAAGCGGTATCGAAAACATTATTAAAACTAAATAAATATATTAATACATGCCGAATACAGTCATAGAAGATAAAAAGATATAAATGTATAAAGCCAAAATACCCGACATTTTTGACGATTTTTGAACCCCATTCTCTGCCGATACAGGTTTTCCATCTCTATGTTTACGCCTGGAGTTCCAAGTGCACATCTTTATTCGCCTCGTCAGTTGAGAAATCAGGCGACCATTTTGAATACTTTTCTCGCGCCAAGCTTCATTTTCATCCTTTTGATTTAAAAGCTCTTCCTTCAGGTCTATCATTTCTTGTCTATGATCTCGTTTGAGTTCTTCTAGCAAACCGGCTTGTTTTTTGGTGTATTCCTCAAGATCAACTATACGTTTTAGGAGATCGTGGACATTGGGCTCATTTAATGTCGAGTCAAAGTCTGCATTAACGGACGAAGATATTGTATTTTCAGCTTCCAAAAATGCAAATAATGCAGCAAATAATAAGAACCGAAGGAGCGCCATGTTGATACCTATGTCAAAATTAATTTTAGACAGTTATTTCATATATAAACCAGCACAAGTTATGATAGTGAAGTTATTGAACAATTTTTATCTACTATGTAAAATGATCTTAATTTAAGAATAGTCATAGTTTTTGATCTATTTCTATTTCAGATAAGAAGTGAATACATGTAGATTGTATCGTATGTTAATTTACAGAACAAAAGTACATATACATATATAAAGGGACACGATTAATGAAAGTCAGAAACTGTTTTGTGTAACGGCCCTGTATATTGTTGGATATTATAAAAGCTTAATATAACGTCGAAATAGAAGTGAATATTGAAAGGCTTTAGGCTCAAATGTTCCCTACCTATGCATTAGATTCAAAACGACACGTCTAAACACCAACAATAAGTTCAAATTCCATGGATGTGGAGCACCAGGTTGTCTTCATTTCGAAAATGACGAAATGACTTTGACTGGACGAACCATGTATTTTTTAAAATTTATTTCGTCTTCTGCTTATGTTTACATTAGATACATACATGAATATCAACGTAATGATATAGTAACAAAAGGCCATTATGGTCTTGGATCACCAACCTGAGAGAAGAAAAAATATGTATTGGCAGTATGTCGTCAATTGTCACGAAATCAAAGGCCTGAAGGGCCATAATGGCTTACGGGTTTGATATGACTATTAAGTTGAAGGAAACAAAGGCAGTCGGTGCGTGGCTTGGATAGTATACATTTACATGACGCATGGCGATATATTTTAATCTGTCTGTCTGTGCGTCCCATCTTCTTTCGTGTCCGTTTTGTAACTTTGTGATACATTGAGGGATTTTGAAATAGCTTGGTATGAATATCTACCACATCAAGACGATGTGACGCGTTTACAAAATCACGTCCCTACCTCAAAGGTCAAGGTCACACTAACATTTTGAAGTTTCACATTATCACAATTAAAGTTAATAGGTTCACATAATCGTGTTCGGACTGTAACCTTGCCATGCATCGAAATTTTTTTAACTAACTTGGTATAAATGTCTACATCATGAAGTCGTTGTGTCGCGCCTAAAACACGTCTCTTCCAAAAATTCAAGGTCATACTAACTTTTTGAAGTTTCACGTTATCACAATAAGAGATTATAGGTACAAACATTCGTGTCCGGACTGTCATGCATCGAAATATTTTAAAATAACTTAGCATAAATGTCTACCACATTGAGACGACATGTCGCGTGCAAAACCCATGTTCCTATCTCCAAGGTCGAGGTCACGCTTATAGTTTGAAGAAACTCATTCTCTCGAAAGAGTTTGATGATACACAGTCATGTCCGGACTGTAACTTCGTCATGCATTGAATGGTTTTAAAATAGCTTGGCAAAAATGTTTTCCACATCAAGGCGATGTGTCGCGGCTAAGGCTCGTGTCCGTATATCCGTCCGTGCGTCCCCACTTACACAACAATCGTTTATTGACGGATTTTTAAATAGCTTGGTACAAGTGTCTACCACATCCAATTTGTCGCGGCTAAGGCCCATATCACTACCTAAAAGGTCAAGGTCACACTAAGAGGTTGAAAAGGTAATATTTGTTTCCAAACTGTAGCTTTTTCATGCATTGAAGGATTTTAAAATTACTTGGCACAAAAGTCAAACACATCATGGTGATGTGTTTCATTTAAAATTCATGTCAGTTAGTCAAAGGTCAAGGTCACACTTACATGTTAAAGGTTTTATATTCTCACGTATATTTTAAAGGTACACACATTTGTGACTGGACTGTAACTTTTTTATGCATTGAAGAGTTTTAAATAACTTGTTTACCACATCAATATTACGTGTTATGGGTAAGGCCCAAGGTCCTACCTTCAAGGTCAAGGCCACTATAAAAGTTTGGAGGTTTTAATGCTCATAAGAAGAGTTTGAAGGTACACATTATTTTTCAAACTGTAGCATTGAAGGATTCTAAAATAACTTGGCATATATGTCTACCACATCAAGATGATGTGTCGCGTCCAAAAATCATGTCCCAAGGTGGTAAGTTTGCTACAAATAGCTATTTATTTCACAAGAACATTATTAAACAATTAGTTACTTACATTCTGTTCTCTTCATAATACCTTTCTGTAATGCTTTTTGGGCAATTCGTCACTTTTGCGTGACAGCTCTTTTTTCATCGAGATATTATGTTACTTTTACAGATACAAAATGACAAAAGAACAGAGACGGAACAAATGAGAGAATATTGTAAACGTCTACAACAAAACCCTGAAAAATATGACCCTTACTTTAAAAAGACAAAAGCAAAGGAAATCAAGAAATTTAAATTCCTTTTAATCACACGGGGGGGGGGGAATCACGTGACTTTGTATAGTAATACCCACGAGAAAATGGCGACTGCTGAGCCCCGGTAAGTACCTTATTATGTTAAATTAAGGTGGCAAACGTTTCTTAAATCAAAACAAAACCTAGTATATCATATGCGCGTTAATTTTCTTCAAATGACAATACAAAGTGCATTATCCTACGTTTTGTGGTTTTTGAGAACATTGTTTGAATTGTGTGAAAATTGCACATTCAGCGATAGTAATTCGCACGAAGCGATATAATTTGGTACCAAAATAAAAGAAAATAAGCTTACTTTCTGCACTTAAGACACAAAATCAATCATTTTATTGACATCTGTTATCGTAGTCCATATAAAATATATTTTCGAAGGTCTGTAGCCTACAAATGTTCTTTGCAAGTGTATAGTAAGTCAAACGAACAATTTCTGGATAGTAAGTCGCACGAAAACAAAATAGTAAGTTTCACGCACAGTTTCCATTAGCATACATATGCATTAAAAGAAAGTTAAAGTCCATATGTAAAGAGATAGAAAATACTTATTTCAATTATTCAAGATCAAATGTTTCACTTTTTGTCTATAGAACGAATGCTTAATTGGTTGTAATCATACTATATCAAATGAACTTTTGATGAGATTTGATATTACACGGCTCAGTGTTATTTTTCTGTTGCGATAGTAGTTCTTTGACCTCTGCAGTTTCAGGTGTGACTTGGTCCTCATTTTACTGTAATTAGAAAGAAGAAACAACAAAAAACAACAATGATACAGTGATACAAGTTATGATTAAGGCACATTGTGCCTCAGAAATCCATATTGTTTTGATTCTTTAGAAATGTCAAACATGTGTTTCATAATGTTTAAATAATGGATAAAACGCATGATAAAATTTTTATTACACCTGAAAAAGGTAGCGCTGATTATTCAGTGATGTGTCGTTAAGGTAGCAAAATGTAAACAAAGTAGTATTTTGACTTCCATACGAAATACTTATTCACTAAAGATATACCATTTTCCAACAGAACCAAAGATGCAAAAGGTAGTTTGAGTATCTAGCAAATGAGTATGTTTTCGGAAACTGTAACAAGATACCAAAAAATAAACAGGTTTTTTTTAAAAAATAAAAATGATAGCATTTAAGAGGCATAATTGACCTTTAAAGAAAAACGAATATTTGAAATTAAACGGTCAAAGATATTTACACTTTTTAAAGTGAAGGCAAATGGAGTGAAAAATAATATTTACATAAAACAATCTTAGATGCTGGGTTTCAAATCACACCGTCAATGTCGGGACACCCGAGTTAAAGCACCGACGTTTTGTTAGCTAGTTTGATGAAATAATTCAAGGACTCTGGTCGGACTAGAATCCATAGCGGTGAGAAGCATGTGTATTAAAATCAGGGACATTAAACACTCGGCCATGGACGCCCTGAATATCTTATTTACTAACTCTATCACAAACAAAAAGTAAGAGTTTACGACGCAACACATTTGCACATGGTAAGAAAATAAGCGTATGGTTTAACAAAACTTCTTGGGTTTATTTATAAAATCTGCCAGTGTATAAAAGAATAAATTTAATAAAAACTTGGTATACCAGTTCTATGATGGCATTAAATATCAATGTGATATGGCGGAGTTCTTCTCCTTTGCGTTTTTGGTCAAAAATGCAGATACTGAAAAGCAAATGATGGTGTTGTAATATTTCCTTCTGTACAGTTATTTCTTTATATAGCTAGTTCTAAAGATAACGGATGTGGGTTCAGTCAAACGTGAAAAAGGGCCAAGTGTAACGTACATTGTTGAGTACCAATGTCAATGTCTCATTTAGTTTTTTTTTTAAGTTAAGTGCCATGTTTTATGAAATAATATAAATTATTATTAAATACTCTCTCGATATTTTGTTTCTCTGTCACCGTAGACGGAACACACTTGCAAATTTGAAACCAAATAATTATAAAATAGTTTCGTCACATTTTAGTAAGCTATTGGAAACTGTGCGTGAAACTTACTATTTTGTTTTCGTGTAACTTACTATCCAGAAATTGTTCGTTTTACTTACTATACACTTGCAAAGAACATTTGTAGGCTACAGACCTTCGAACAAAATTTTATATGGAATTCTACAAGAACAGATGTCTATAAAATAATTGATTTTGTGTCTTAAATGCAAAAAGAATGCTTATTTTCCTTTATTTTGGTACCAAATTATATCGCTTCGTGCGAATTACTATCGCTGAATGTGCAATTTTCACACAATTCAAACAATGTTCCAAAAACCACAAAACGTAAGATAATGCACTTTGTATTGTCATTTGAAGAAAATTAACGCGCATATGATATACCAGGTTTTGTTTTGATTTAAGAAACGTTTGTCACCTTAATTTAACATAATAAGGTACTTACCGGGGCTCAGCAGTCGCCATTTTCTCGTGGGTATTACTATACAAAGTCACGTGATTCCCCCCCGTGAATCAATTTAGCAGAACAGAAAAAACGAAAAGACGAGAGAAAACTAAAGAATATGTAAGTAACCATCGTATTAAGGGGCAACGCCAAGCTGAAGTAGGACGGGAAATTCATGATAAAGCAATGGAAACAAGTTGTTATGAAACATATAGTAGTATACCAACACCTTTATTAGAAAACGTGATATTTCCAAATACATTGTAGGAGAAATTGACCCAGGAAACGCATAGCATAAGCAAAGCGTTAGCCAAGAGAACACGAGAATTCAAAGATCTTTAGTTGTAGT